ACCTCGGACATGGCCGATGACAGATCTGAGTACCGGCCCTGCTGCCGGTACCATGTGACCTGCTTTGACCAATCAATGCCACAGTCACATGACAGTTGTATACAATGGATGGCTTCGTTCATTTACTAATTTGTCTAGCTGTGAATGGTCACAGTGATCACACGCACAAGCTGAGCCAATCACAGCCCAGCTGTGTCATGTGATTAGCCGTGGCCAAATCACAGCTAAGCACAAAAAAAAAAAAATCCCCTGAATGAATCAATGTCATTCAGGTAAATGCTTGCTTATAGCAAAGTAATTCTTTGCTATAAGCAAATTGTGTAAAAAAAAAAAAAAAATACTGATCACTTCCCCAAAGTAGTACAATGTTACTATGGTAACATTGTACTACTTTGGTCATAGTGAAATATAAAACAAAATCTTAAAAAAAATAAAAAAATGTAATAAAAAATTAAAAATAATAAAAAAGTAAAAATAAAAATAAAAATTATAGTTTTTTTTTTTCATACTGTCACCAGTCAGTGCCCCTGATCACCGGCATGCCAGTTATATGATGATGCTGTACTGCACTGGTGACAGTATGTAAAAAAAAAAAAATAGTGAATATTATTTTTTTCATTTTTTTCATTTTTCGAAAAAATTATGACAAAAAAAAACTTCAAAAAACTTGCCATGCCTCTTATGAAGTACATCAGACTGTCTACTTTGCAAAAAGGGGTCATTTGGGGGATATCTGTACTGTTCTGACATTCTTGGCCCTCAAGAAATTAGATTGTCTGTCAGTACTTCAGGATTGATCAATATTCAGATATATCTCATAGTTTGTGAACTCTATAATTTTCCTACAAACTAAAAAATACATCATAATTTGGGTTATTTTCACCAAAGACATGTAGCAGAATACATCTTGGCCTAAATTTATGAAGAACAATTACCGTATTTGCCGGCGTATAAGACGACTTTTGACCCTTGAAAATCTACTCAAAAGTCGGCATACTGACACTTTTTAGGGGGGCGGCGCAGTGCCGCCGCTGCCCCCCCCCCTTCCAACAGAAGGGACACTAAGTACAGGGGTGGGCAGGGGCTGGTGTTTCCTACCTGGCTCCGGTCCCACGACGATCCGGTCCAGGAAGCGCGGCTGCTCCTTCGGTTCGGCCACTGGCTGCTCGGGCTCCGCCTCCTCACCGGTGATTGGCCGCCAGAACTGTAGCTCAGGAAAGGCTCACAGGCGGCCAATCACCAGCGAGGGGGCGGAGCCGAGCGGCCCCGTGAAAATCGAGTGCAGGAGCAGCAGGTAAGTGTGCCGTGTAGAGGTGCTGCTGCAACCACATATGCTGGCTGCAGCAGCACCATACTAGAACAGGGTCAGCAAGTGTCATTTGTGTCAGTGGGAGGAACAGTGCCCCATCACTGATACCAATGATGGAGCACTATTCCTCTCACTGACACCAATGATGGGGCACTATTCCTCCCAATGACACCAACGATGGGGCACTATTCCTCCCCCCCCCCACTGACACCAACGATGGGGCACTATTCTACCCCCCCCCCCCCACTGACACCAATGATGGGACACCATTCCTCCCACTGACACCAATGTTGGGACACTATTCCTCCCACTGACACCAATGATGGGGCACTATTCCTCCCACTGACACCAATGTTGGGACACTATTCCTCCCACAGACACCAATGATGGGGCACTATTCCCCCCACTGATACTAATGATGGGGCACTATTCCTGCCACTGATACCAATGATGGGGCACTATTCCTCCCACTGACACCAATGATGGGGCACTATTCCTCCCACTGACACCAATGATGGGGCACTATTCCTCCCACTGATACCAATGATGGGGCACTATTCCTCCCACTGATACCAATGATGGGGAACTATTCCTCCCACTGATACCAATGATGGGGCACCTATTCCCCCCACTGACACCAATGATGGGGCACTATTCCTGCCACTAATACCAATGATGGGGCACTATTCCTCCCACTGATACCAATGATGGGGCACCTATTCCCCCCACTGATACTAATGATGGGGCACTATTCCTGCCACTAATACCAATGATGGGGCACTATTCCTCCCACTGACACCGATGATGGGGCACTATTCCTCCCACTGATACCAATGATGGGGCACTATTCATCCCACTGACACCGATGATGGGGCACTATTCCTCCCACTGACACCGATGATGGGGCACTATTCCTCCCACTGACACCGATGATGGGGCACTATTCCTCCTACTGACACCAATGATGGGGCACTATTGCTCCCCTGGTGTGCATTGGAAGAGGGGTAGTCTTATACGGCGAGTATAGCCCAAACACTACATTTTAGCAGGAAAAGTAGGGGGGTCGTCTTATACGCCCAGTCGTCTTATACACCGGCAAATACGGTATTTATTTGCAAACTTTTATAACAGAAACAAAGACAAATGTGGTTTTTTTTTCAAAATTGTTGGTCTTTTTTTGTTAATTTAGCAAAAAATAAAAACCCCAGTGGTGATTAAATACCACAAAAGAAAGCTCTAGTTGTGTGAAGAAAATGCTAAAATTTTAGTTTGGGTACAATGTTGTATGACTGCGCAATTGTCATTCAAAGTGTGAGAGCGCTGAAACCTGAAAAATGGCCTGGGCAGGAAGGGGGTAAAAGTACCCTGTATGGAAGAGGTTAAACATGTCCAGTACAAAAATGTTAAAAATCTAATTTCATCGTAAATTTAGGCCAAAATGTATTCTGCTACATCTTTGCTAAAAAAAATCCAAATACATGTAAATTAATTGGTTTACATGAAAGTTATAGCGTTTAAAAATGGCGGCATAGATACTGTAATTTTTTTTTTATTTTTACTAGTTATGGCGGCGATTAGTGACATAGAGCAGGACTGCGGGACTGCAGCAGACATTTTGACACTGGGAGGAACTGGCTTGGTGTCACTGACATCCCCAGTGACACCAATACAGTGATCAGTGCTACAAAAAAACACTGACACTGTACTAATGGCACTGGGAAAGGAGTGGTCAACTTGAGGGGCGATCAAAGGGTTGACTGTGTGCTGGGGGAGTGTTTTGTGTTGGTGCTTCACTGTAAGGACACTGCTTTGGATGGCTGTCCTGTGCACAGCCATCCAGAGCAGTGTGCCCTAGCCGACAGGGAGGAAGACTGTTAGTAAACAAAGCAGCCCTACTCCCCGTCGTAGATTCTCAAAACCATCGGGTGCCGGTGGGCAATTACTGGCCAGGACCCAATGATTGACAGCTGCGGCAACGAATGGCGGTGCGGGTAGGGCGCACGCACGGCCTGTGTACGCCCCCTACCCAGAAAATGCGAAATCACGTATATATATATATATATATATATATATATATATATGTGTGTGTGTGTGATTTTGCACACCCCTGCCGCCCTGTAGCAGTATATCCGCTATAGGGTGGCAGGGATGTGGTTGAATGCTCAGGGATACACTAGAAGCCCAGCAAGAGCACAATGGTCGCTGATGGCATCCAATGTGTTGTTGGATTTGGCATGGGGACACATTGGCGAGGCAGTGTGGCTTCACATATATTTGCAGATGTGCGCAACTAAACCCTTGGTTTTAAATGTGCATTGTTACACAAGGACACTTTTTTTTGCAGGCTAACTGGTAAATGTGAAGCCAAAAGTGTGCTGTCCCTATAAATGATGTATATACCCCTACCAAACAATTGAATCACACGTGGAGATCAAATCCCATGATGCATACAGAATAAATAAACATCAATGCAAACACAAATAAAATATATACATACATACATAAATAAATAAATAAAAAGTTCACAAATTAATCGTGAAAAAAGTGCTCCATGCTGGAAAAACTTCTTATAAAATTCTCCTGTGCCTCAAAATGCTACTTACAAAAAAGCAGGTCTCTTACCGATCTGAAATTATTTCAGGCTATAGAGATCAAACAGGCAAGTGCGTTCAAACTCCAGCTGGGAAATGTGCTGGGAAATGTTTTGCTTGTTTGGAAGCTAAGATGTGACCCTGTGAATGTTAGGCTGCAAACTGAACCTGCGGCATGAACTGACCCTTTTTACTTTTCCCTTTTTAAGCCTCCTAACAAAAAGAGAATTCAGCAAATTGTGGCGATTATGTACTTTTATTAAGATTAAAACATTTAATAGGAATTTAATATTTACAGTCTGGAGGAAAGAAGGGGGTGATAAGGTTCAGGGGTGCAGTATTTTCAATAGTAATTTCAAGAAAACCATGCAACATGGTAAGTAACCTCACAACCAATGTTTGTAAATGTTTGTCTCTTGCTTGCTGATGAGGTGGCTATTGTGGGTGGTCAGGGGATGCCTTTTTTTCCTGTTGGTCTCCCCGCGCATGCGCCGGGTGACGCCGTGCTGCCTTTCGGTTCCGCTAGCTCTATTGCTTTGGGCCATCGGATAGTGCGCATGCATCACCCTTGCGCAGATGAGTGATATGTTCCACCTGGGCCGGGTGACGTCAAATGCCGGCTTCCGCACTTGTGCGCCCCACTCGGGGCTATATCAGGATGGCTGGGTGGTGGCACCATTACACTTCACTCCAGACATTACCCTGGTCAGGCAGCACAGGACACGCGACGATTACACTCATTTCAGGTATGCAGAAATTCCACAAACTATAGACGTTTGAGATGTATTGACATTCTGGTTGCTGACACTATTAGTGAGAACAATATTATCCTCTCTTTTCATCTATTGAAAGCTATTTTTTGGCTGTCATTAAGGGCCTCATTCCAAGCGGTCTTTAATTTTGGGGTATGCTCCACCCATGCTTCCTTCCTAGCTTGGATTCACATTATACAACTTATTAGCCTCTATTTTGGGCAATCATTCTTCTCCAGGTAAACAATATATACACTATATTGCCAAACATATTGGGACACCCCTCCAAATCATTGGATTCAGGTGTTCCAATCACCTCCATGGCCACAGGTGTATAAAATCAAGCACCTAAGCATGTAGACTGCTTCTACAAACATTTGTGAAAGAATGGGTCGCTCTCAGGAACTCAGTGAATTCAAGCGAGGGACCGTAATAGGTTGCCACCTGTGGAATAAGTCCATCCATGAAATATCCTTGCTACTAACTATTCCACGGTCAACTGTTAGTGGTATTACAACAAAGTGGAAACAAATGGGAACAATAGCAGCTCAGTCACGAAGTGGTAGTCACGAAGCTCTCTATGCACTGTTAGCACAACAAAAGTGCGTAGAGAGCTAGATGGAATGGGTTTCCATGGCCAAGCAGCTGCATCCAAGCCTTACATTACCAAGTGCAATGCAAAGCATTGGATGCAGTGGTGTAAGGCACGCCACCACTGGACTCTAGAGCAGTGGAGACAGTTTCTCTGGAGTGAAGAATAGCACTTCTCTGTCTGGCAATCTGATGGATGTGTCTGGATTTGGTGGTTGCTAGGAGAAAGGTACTTGCCTGGCTGCATTGTGTCAAGTATAAAGTTTGGTGGAAGGGAGATTATGGTGTGGGGTTGTCTTTCAGGGGTTGGGCTTGGCCTCTTAGTTCCAGTGAAGGGAACTCTTAAGGTGTCAGCATACCATTTTAGACAATTTAATTATCTCAACTTTGTGGAACAGTTTGGGGATGGCCCCTTCCTGTTCCAACATGGTTGCGCACCAGTGCACAAAGCATGGTCCATAAAGACATGGATGAGCGAGTTTAGGGTGGAGGAACTCGAATAGCCTGTACCTCAATACAATAGAACACCTTTGGGATGAATTGGAGCGGAAACTGTGAGCCAAGCCTCGTCTGACATCGGTGCCTGACCTCACAAATGCGCTTCTGGAAGAATGGTCAAACATTCCCATGGGATGCCATTAAAGTTCATGTGTGTGTAAAGGCAGCCGTCTGTATACTTTTGGCAATAAAGTGTATACAGTATATCTATACATTTTAACATTATATAGAAAATCCTTATATGTTGGCTCATCTTTTACTTCTATGGCGCCCCTTGCAGCCTCCAGATAATCTCCATATTCCAATATCTCAGCCTGGTGATTCCAATTTCTTCTGTCTGCTGTTGCTTTTATTCGATTGTATTAGGTATCTATACAATTGTAAGTAGTACCAATTTTTTGTATCCTGGTCTCTATTGGCTGACAGTCTTTATGTCTTAAAGATCAAAGTTATATGTTTTTCTTACCAGATGCACTCAACTAGCTCCTGAGGAAGTGACTTGTCGTGAAACATGTTGTGCAACTAATCCTTTGGAATTAGGGTTATTCCCCAATGAGATCTATTATCCCTTCCACACTGGTAGCCCTATGTGGCATATACAATTCAATGTCTTTCTTAAATATGGTTGTAACTTGTTCCAATGCAATCTGATTTCATTATGATCTGGTGTTTACTGTGATTTATAATGATGAGCTATTTAACGTTATGCATAATTGTATATATCTTTTGGTTTTAGTCATTTGATTGCAATAAAAATATTATTTTTACAAGCATTGGTTGTGGGGTTACATGCCTATAAAGTCCATGTTGCTCATTTTCTTGAAATTCGTTGATTCCAGAACATGGCACATATTGTAGTTTCTTGGTTTACATAGTATTGCCCTATGGTAACTTCATCTTTTATTTGGCCATTTTCAATTGAAAGTCAAGAACACAGGGACATGACTTCAAAATTCTTTTTTTAAAATGAGGCAGACTTGATGGACTGCTTGGTCTTTTTTCTGCCATCCCTCCTCTATGTTTCTATGTTTCTATTAATCACCTTTAAAATAATCATTTTAGGGCTTCTTCTATAATACATTGAATAGATCCATATCTGCAAGTGACAGAAGTCTATATTGTCATTTGTTGCTGTTATTTTGGTTAATTACAAACCAAAAAAATTACTGTTTTTATTCTTTATTTTCTTCTATCAGGTCATTATAAAGTGTAGAGTCTATTGTTTTCTGCCAGGCAGGCCCTTGCTGGTAAACTGGTAAAGAGTCTGCATATATCATAAGCATATGTGACTGCTGACTTTATTTGTAGATTTACACAATATGAATAGAAACCACATTTTAAAATGCATATGGTACATTCAGCTGACCTACTTCACCTATAAATTTAAAAAAGGCACCCACAGGTAACCATCAGCACCTTATATTACCCTTTGTAATACTTGGACTAAGGTGGATTTTTATGTCAAACTGTACTGTGGGCAGAGATCATCATAAAAAAATGCACACAGATTACACATCTGTTATAAACAGCATGAGGTGAAATACATGTAACTTGTTTTATATATACAATTAGAAAGCAGCACTATAAATAAATATATTGAAGTATCACTCCACTGTGATGAATATAAATAAACTAAGTGTATGGACCTTTACCTAATGGATATAGTAAAAACTGTGATTGTATGCAAACAAAGGAATAATAAAATGTACCCAAATTAAAAGAGATGAAGCTAAAACTGAAGCATAATACTTGGTGCGTCACACTTCATACAGGGAGAATGTCACCAGCACACAGAGGATCACCAATATGGTCCCAAAAGTTTTAATAAACAATCACATAGTTACAGAAAGGCAACGTTTCGGAGTCTCGCAGGACCCCTTCATCAGGCATGTGAAGGGGTCCTTTGAGACTCCGAAACATTGCCTTGCTGTAACTATGTGATCATTTATTAAAACTTTTGGGCCCATATTGGTGATCCTCTGTGTGCTGGTGACATTCTCCCTTGCTGATTCTGTTCGGTTCCAGCCGATAGCCGCTGCAGCACCCACTTATACACAAAGCCATTTTTAACACAGGAACGTGTGCGTTTGGATTGCACACTCACACTTCATAAACCCACATAATATGTGCCTATTGTGCAGTGCAACCAGTGTCACTCAGTAAATTAATTACTGAAAATAACACAAAAAACACAATATAGTGGCCCTGGTTGCCCTGCACTTTAATAAGGTTGTATGAATATGACACCTCAAGTATTATGCTTCAATTTTAGCTTCATACTGTATCTCTTTTAATTTTGGTACATTTTTATTTTTAATTTGTTTGCATTAAATCATAGTTTTTAGTATGTTTTATTGGTAAAGGGCCATGCACTTTATATTTGTCACAATGACAACATTTTGCTATATTTATTGATAGGGTTGTTTTTTAATTTTATATATATATCTTGGTAGTAATGTACAGGAGGTACATTTAGAAGCAGCAGCTGGGATTACTTATCATTAATATAATCAGGGGCGGACTGACAACTCATGGGGCCCCCGGGCAATAGGGGATCATGGGGCCAATGTGTCCTTGCCCAAACTCAAAAATGCCTATGAAAAAGGTACTAGAGGCATCTCATGGGGCCCCGTACTGACCCTGGGCCCTCGGGCTGTGCCTGAGTTTCCAAATGGTCAGTCCACCCCTGAATATAATACCAGAAAGTGTGAGTGTTTTTCCATGCCTTTTGTATGTAACGTGTTTATTTTTTAGAACTTTAATGTAGAACTATATTCAAAACTTTTTTTTTTCATTTTGGATAGAGCAAGGGAGGGTAATAACCCCGTCAGATTTTTTTTTTTACCATCTATTTCCCATTACGGAGATTTCCCTTCGGTTCCTGTCCTATAGCCAAACAGAAAGTGAGAGGAAATCTCTGCAAATTAAAGGAATTCCTTGGGGACCTTCAAGTCACCAGAACTATCAGTTATCCAGGACTTTATTAAAGCAAAGACTTGTTGAACTTCTATTTTGATAGCACTATTGTTTCTGGGCTGTAGTACAGGTACGAACAACAAATAACATACACATATATGGTATTGCTGTGATTGTCAATAGCTGGAAAATTTATTTTGGGTTGTTCTTTGGTGGTAGGTTATGGTAGGAACAAGAAACACACAGCTAAATTAAAAAAAATGATTTTTTTACTGTTTTGGGCCAGTTTTCCTTTGATAAAAAAAAATCAGGAGATGTCCATTACCATTTTACCACCAAATGAAAGCCCAATTTGTCCTTAAAAAACAAGGTATAATTCACCTGGATGTACAAAGTAGTGATGATATGTATGGTTTTACTAACACTAGTCAAAATTGTAAAATTTTACTTAGGCTTTAAGATTTGTTTTACCCTTAGGCGTGAACGGATTAATGTACACCAACTAGGGCCCCATCAAGTGCACATAAAATTTGTCACTATTCTTTAATGAGATAAAAAAAGGGACACTACTGCTTATAACACAAGTATTCATCTCAAGAGTTAAACCCAGTTACTAGCAACTGAGAACCCAAAAGTTAGTTAGCCTGACATCTTGATAGTTCATTTCAGCTTACTTGGGGAGATGTATCTCAGAAGCTGGAATTAATGTTTTTTGCCCTGTAGGACATTTGGGTTTGCGTAAAGTGATACTGTGCCTAATTACCTTGTTGAACCTTTTAGAGTGTTTAATATTTTTTCTTCTATGCACATGAACTGTCATTCTTGTTGGGCTCGCACTCTGACCTCAATACAATTAAAATATTTGCTCACCTAAAACAGGGTGTTTGTTTATTTTATGGTTCCAAGACAGGGAGTCCTCCTCGTCAAGGTTTCACTATGGCATCAGCAGGGGCTGTAATTCCAAAGCAAGCCCAAACACACAGGGAACCCAAAAAGGCACAGTGGCTCTTAAGGGGGTAGCGCTACACGTGGTTGTCCATATAGTCAAGGTGAAAACTTGCCCTTCCTGGAAAGCCAGGTTAATTTTTCTTTTAATTTAGAGATTCTGATGTTTCGGGCCATTCTTAAGTTTCAGACTGTATTCTAATAGAAGGACCATAGTGTAAATTTGGGCTACATTCTAAAAATTCCATTGAATGACAAGAGTTCTTTCCTCAGATTCTCAGTGCTGTGGATATTATTATTATTATTATACAGGATTTTTATAGTGCCAAAAGTTTGCCCAGCTCTTTACAATATAAAGGGAGACAATACAGCAATGACACAGTTCAATACAAAAGGTTTTCAGAGATTGCTTAAAAGTGGGCAGAGTAGGCGATAGTCAGATAGATTGGAATAGAGAGTTCCAGAGGGTGGGGAGGCTCTGGAGAAGTCCTGGAGATGAGCATGAGAGGAGGAGACAAGGGAGCTAGAGAGCAGGAGGTTGTGGGAGGAGCGGAGAAGACGGTTTGGGTGATATTTGGAGACAAGATTAATGATGTAATTTGGAGTTATAAATGGCTTTATATGTTATTGTTAATGTTTTGAATTTTATTTGTTGGGCAATGGGAAGCCAGTGGAGGGATTGGCAGAGAGGGATGGCAGACATGGAACAGCTAGTAAGGTGGATGAGTCTGGCAGCAGTATTCATGATTGACTGAAGAGGGGATAGCCTGCAATTGAGGTAGGCCAATGAGGAGGGAGTTACAATAGTCAAGGCGAGAGATAACAAGGGAGTGAATAAGTTGCTTAGTGGTTTCCGAGGTTAACCCCTTGACGCCGCCGCCTCCCGGCCCTTTAAGAGATTC